ACTTTTAACTGGCCATGTTTACCTCTTAATTGGCCGGTGGGTTCAGGGTTTCATTCCTCACTGCTACAATTTAGCCCCTTAAAATCCCAGGCTTATTGCATTCTATTATTTAGATACTACAAGGACTTCAAACTGGCTGAGCTATTCCTAGGTTATAGAAGTGTATAATCAAGCTTTAGGCTTGCTGACGGCCTGCTCTGGCCATTAAGAGGTAAACCTCTTTCTGCCGGCCCTGTAGTGGCCATTCAACAAATGTAATGAAAATTGATTTGAATGGAATCAAATAAATTATGTTTCCTTTTAACTCTGTTATCAGATGAACTAATACAATGTTGACTCTCTGTGCACGATATGTTGTGAGACTGTGTTGAGCTGCTAGTGAGCAATGAGCAGTAAAAGGGGGAGGGGTGAGACCTCCTGCTGTGAAAAACAATTCACACCTCTCCACAACTATGGCCCTGTCCAGATAAACTGGACAACTGCAGCTTTCTTCATATCAAAGAATGAAAAGGCTTTTAAACACAAAAAATAATAAATATGACTTGCTTGCTCACCCATGAAGACGAAAATTCGCAAATCATACACATTTCTGTCAACATTAGCAAAGAACAAAAATACACAGCTTAACTAAGGAAGCTCCAAAACACAGAACTTTTGTTCTGTGTTTAATAAGCTTTAAGAAGTATGAGAGTGCTTCAGTTGAAATAGGTTTTGCTATATATACATAATAGCTTTTTTTAAATCTTTGTAGTTTTTAAAGAAAAAATAGGATCCATATCACTTTCAGGCAATACTACACCAGTATTGATATTGGAAAAGGAGAAATCATTCCTTTTTTAGTACATACCGTTCAGTTCCAGCAACAGCACCTTCTGTAGATTTACTGCGTCATGTCTTCAAGTTTGAGTTTTTGGTTAATAAGTTTTAGTGAAGTTCTTCTTGAGAAACGTTACACACCATACTGTTTTAGCACCACGGTCAGCAGCAGAAGCTTATCAGCACCATGGACAGCAAACGGGACAATATATAAAATCTCTTTCCATCCTGATCCTTCTGATAATCAAATAAATAAATAAATAAAGACTGTACTGAAAGAAACAGAGACAGCTCTGAAGGAAAAAAAGAAATGTCTGTCATTTTCAGCTGCATAATTGTTCCCACAGTGAGTCAAATATAAGCAGGTGTGTCGCTCTAAAGCCTAAGCCCGCTCTTTATGGGCCCAGACTACAGGAGACAGCTGATGCTTTCAATACTGCCTGATTTGGTGGATTTCAGAGGAATTAGAGTGGATAAGAAAGAGTCTTTTCTTTAAGAACCAGTTCTTGTTCTTTTCTCATCTTTCTAGATGCAGAGCCTGCTGTATTCTCTGATTCTCTGTTTCTCTCTCTTTATCTCTCTCTCTCTCTGTCTTTCTTTCTCTGTCACTCATCCACTCTCTCACCATTTCTATCCATGAATGCATTTCTTGATTCACCTGTCAGTCATTGACGGCCCCTTAAATTCTTTTACTCATTTCATCCACAGCTCAGTAATCTGTAGAAGTCTCCAGTTATTACTGGTATTCATCTTCAACCCTAGAACTATTATTTTCATATCCTGTACATGCACTTTTCAGAATGATTGACGAGCAGTTTTATGTATATGTGTTTATATATATGTATGTATATATATATATATATATATATATATATATATATATATATATATATATATATCTGTGTGTGTGTGTGTGTGTTTAACTTTTTAAAATATTTCTATTTAAGAATGTCTGTATTAATTGTATTTATTATTCCACACCTGGTTTAGCTGTTTAGCACTTCATTAAATTAAATCAGGTGCTGCTGGTGGAAATGAACAAATCTATGTGAGCTTGGGCTTCAGTGCATTAGATAGATAAATCTGGGTTCTGCACAAAACTGACCGCTGCTAGTTGCTCAAACTGTGTTGGCTATGCATTGGTATATTTTGGTATGTTGGCTGGCAAATAAACAAAAGAATGTTAACAGTAACATCTAAAAAATGAGAAGAAAGGAATCCCCCATATGGTCAAACTGTTGACCTCACATCTGGAACAAGATCAATTATTAATAAATAGCCCATAAAGTGCACACTCACACTCCAGTTTCATATATAACACACAGACAGAATGTGTCCACATCTGAAACTGCCTTAGAAGGCTTTGTACAGTGAACCCAAAGTCTCTGGAAAGATTGGTGGTGAGATGTTAGATCATGATAACTGGGGTGAAACCACTGTAACGTATGGCCTCCCAGCTTATTGCCAAAGCATTTCATACTCTACAGTAAATGCTCGACCTCAATTACACCCTGAAAGCCTCCAAACTCCTGTAAATAATGGACACGTTTGCAGTCTCGTCAGCACGTTCCTACGCATTAGCCTGCGATGCTTTTCCTCCTTCCATGTGAGAGGCCGTGTGAGGGCATTGTTCTGCCTGGCAGGAAGCGCCATCTGTGGGCAAGAATTACACAGCTTCCCCTCCCCCTGTGCTCCAGGCTGGAGGATGAAACTACTCATTCACTCGCTCACGCACTCATTCACTCGCTCACTCACTCACTCACTCACTCACTCTCTTCCTCGGTCTCTCTGCCTCTTTCTCATTCTCATCCTCACTTTCCTCATCTTTCTCTCTCTCTCGCTCTCTCTCTCTGTCTGTCTCTCTGTCTCTCTCAGCGTCTTTCTCTTTTTTACTTGTCTCTGTCTCTGATATATATACTCCTCTCTTTCTCTTCTTTCTCCCATGGTCTCTGCTTCTCTCTCTCTCACTCTCTCTCTCTCTCTCTCTCTCTCTCTCTCTCTCTCTCTCTCTCTCTCTTGCTTTCACAGCCATCGGGCCTGAAGCGTGATGCCAATGTCTGGTGACAGGCCACTAAAAGAGGGAGGAAGAACTATTTCCTTTTCTTTTTCTTCTGTTTGCTCTCTCTTTTTTCATTCCTGGTCTCATTTTCTTCTGTAAAACTTTGTCTTCTCCATTTTAAACTAGTACTCTGTTCTTTCTCCTGGGGATAAAAAGCAGCAGTTTGTCTCTCCACAGCTCACTCGCTGCAAAGAAAGCCCTGCCGAAACTACCATTATTATTGACGATTTGCTGAACGTTCAGTTTACATTACATAATGTAATCGCATAATTAATCACATAGTTATATAATGAGTTATATTTAGATTCAGTTTGCATTCTGTTTTGACAGGTTTAAGTCTGCAAATTGACTCTTTTCAGTCTTCTAATAATCTAAAGGATGATCTTCTTTCCAAAAAAAAACAAAATGTGAACTAAAACAAATTCAAATTCAATTGAAAATAAAATATCTCCTCTCGTGTTTACAAACACAAATATGGTATGGATTGAAAGAATAGAACCTGCACTTTGTCACACTTGCTTCAGTGATCTCCAGAAGATAAATTATATAAAATTACACCAAGCTTTTCTTTTTGTTGCTCACAGCCCCATGTAAGAGTTAATTTGCTCTTTCAGAGATGATGTGGGGTTCAGGACCCCCAAATATAGCACATTCGCTTTTTTATTGGAGTCAAAGTGCAAAAGAGCATCATCTCCTGCCACTCGTATGGCCATTAACATGCGGATGTTAAAGTTTTAAAGCAGATGCTTTGAACTGAGAGCGATTTCATTATCCTAAGCCCCTGCTGTTTTAGAGAGCCAGATGTTCTTGCTTTTATCCTTCTTTTGTATCGTAATGTGTTTTTTCACGGTGTGAGAGCTGAATGGTGGATGATGCTTATGCAGCATGATCATCCGTCTCCATGGATATTAGAGTTAAGAGACATATACGATGCTTTTCTCATAATGTTTTTCAGTGATGTACCATGGACCGTGTTTCTCTTCTTGTTCTTAAACTGTCACTAAAGTTAGTTTACTTTACTTAGTTACTAAACTAACTGCTGAAGTGTTTGTCACAAGCTTTTTGTTTCTTAACTGTAGGAAACTGTAGGGGGCGATATGGTCTCTATTGTTGCATTCAAAAAGTGCTCTGTGATGTTCATATGATCCACACAGTTATTCTGACAGACTGTAATACACTACAGGAAGTGTAGGGGGGGATATGGATTCTACTGTTTCATTTAAAAAGCTCTATAATGTTCATATGATCCACACAGTCATTCTGACAGACTGTAATACACTACAGGAAGTGTAGGGGGTGGTATGGCTTCTATTGCTTCATTTACCTGGATTAACATTATTATTGTTTTTCTGTAGTGTTGCAGTGTTATTAGTATTTCTGCAGTGTAAAAGTGTAGTAAAATGAACAGAATACAGGTATTTTAGCGCAGCAGCCCAGTGTCGCCTAAAACATTCTGCTCTTCCTGAGATCAATAAATACATCATCAAATATTGATTTGAAATATCAACCAATATCAGCAAATATCACTGCCGGTATTTTTTTAAAGCAAATATCTGCTTGTACTGATGTGACTCTGTTATCATCCTACTTCCCTAAATACAACATCATAAGAAAATCATAAGGAATAAACAAATTGAGTTAGAATATGTTCTTATAGCAGCTACAATATAAACCAGTAACCAACTCCAGTATGTACTGTAGGAGTTTTTTTCTTTAACATTAAAGGCTAATGGTCACTTGACCTGTCGGCCGGTGGTGCTGCAGTTTGACCATTTTTATGTCCGACTGTCAGGTCTTCCTTTGTCAATCATCCTGTGACATGGGAGTGTATGTGCGTGGCCACAAAAGAGCAAGCTCCTGTTTTGAGATTCACTGGAGCATGTGACCTTTAAAGACATTCAGGAAACAACTGTGCTAGCATATTGTGTGTGTGTTTGTGTGTGTGTGTGTGTGTGTGTGTGTGTGTGTGTGGTATAAATGTAAATCATAAATGAGTGCCTTTGTTGTCATTGTACAAGTACAACAAAACTACCTTAGCATTTGACTGAATTTGGCTAGCATTAGCCTAGTGTTTCTGTATATAAATGTGCATGTGGTCATTGTCTCTGTTCTTTTTGTGTTCCAGTGAATGCCACAATGCCACTGACCGCATAAAAGTGCGTGTGTGGGATGAGGATGATGACATCAAGTCTCGTGTGAAGCAGCACTTCAAGAAAGAGTCTGACGACTTCCTGGGCCAGACCATCATTGAGGTCCGGATGTTGAGCGGAGAAATGGATGTTTGGTACAACCTCGGTATGTATCCTTAGTACATATTACACACAGTAAAGCCCAGCTGTCATTTAGACTGCAATAAATAGATTCAACCAAATATCATCTTTGTTATAAACTCCTACCTTGTACTTCCACACACTGGCCACTTTATTAGAAACACCCACCTTGTACTTTTACTCACTGGCCACTTTTTTAGAAACACCTACATTGTACTTGCACTTACTGACCACTTTATTAGAAACACCAACCTTGTACTTCCACACTGGTCACTTTATTGGAAACACCCACCTTGTACTTCCACACTGGTCACTTTATTGGAAACACCCACCTTGTACTTCCACACACTGGCCACTTTATTAGAAACACCCACCTTGTACTTCCACACACTGGCCACTTTATTAGAAACACCCACCTTGTACTTCCACACACTGGCCACTTTATTAGAAACACCCACCTTGTACTTCCACACACTGGCCACTTTATTAGAAACACCCACCTTGTACTTCCACACTGGTCACTTTATTAGAAACACCCACCTTGTACTTCCACACACTGGTCACTTTATTAGAAACACCCACCTTGTACTTCCACACACTGGCCACTTTATTAGAAACACCCACCTTGTACTTCCACACACTGGTCACTTTATTAGAAACACCCACCTTGTTCCTCCACACACTGGCCACTTTATTAGAAACACCCACCTTGTACTTCCACACACTGGCCACTTTATTAGAAACACCCACCTTGTACTTTTACTCACTGGCCACTTTATTAAAAACACCCACCTTGTACTTCCGCCCACTGGCCACTTTATTAGAAACACCTACCTTGTACTTCCACACACTGTCCACCTTCCTTATAGGCTGAATGGTGTATGGTAGTTCTCCTGGATAATGCTAATGGGTGTCTGTGTACTGTGAACTGAGACAGCACTCTCGTCTGCTCGCTGTAAGACGAATAGCTTTGTTTTTGTTGAGGTTTTTAGGCGTAGAACAATGTTTTCATTCTTCTTGGCTGCATCCGAAAGCTTGTGCATTTTTAATCAGTAATTTCCATCCATAACTGTGGCCAAACTGAAGTGGCAACATTTCCATTTCCTCTCCATCTGTTTTCACACCAGAACCAGCAGCAGGCCAGACTGATATAAATAACCCCAAACATTTGTAGGAATGTTAATATAACCTCCTCATATCCTGGGACGTGGTATCAACAGAGGACTCTCGCCAGTCTGAGATTTCATAACAGCTCCAGAATTAAATATGAAACGTTTGAATACTAAATTAAAGGAGGGGTTGCAGTCAGAGTTGGTGTTACTGGAATATTGCTGCTTGCTAAATCAAGTGTCTTGCTCACAGTTTGGAGTGAAAGCTTGGAAAACACACTGTAAACTACTGCAATATAACTTCACAGCAATTATTCAGAAAAAAAAAACATCTGTAGGGCTCTGTAGTGTTCATATCATCCACACAGTGATTCTGACAGACTGTAATACACTACAGGACGTGTAGGGGGCGATATGGCTTCTATAGTGTCATTTAAAAAGCGCTCTGTAATGTTTGTATGATCCACACAGTCACTCTGACAGACTGTAATACACTACAGGAAGTGTAGGGGGCGATATGGCTTCTATTGTTTCATTTAAAAAGCTCTATAATGTTCATATGATCCACACAGTCATTCTGACAGACTGTAATACACTACAGGAAGTGTAGGGGGCGATATGGCTTCTACTGTTTCATTTAAAAAGCTCTATAATGTTCATATGATCCACACAGTCACTCTGACAGACTGTAATACACTACAGGAAGTGTAGGGGGCGATATGGCTTCTATTACTTCATTTAAAAAGCTCTATAATGTTCATATGATCCACACAGTCACTCTGACAGACTGTAATACACTACAGGAAGTGTAGGGGGCGATATGGCTTCTATTGCTTCATTTAAAAAGTGCTCTATAATGCTCTGTAATACTCATATGATCCACACAATCATTCTGAAAGATTGTCACAGCTATTACCCTTATCTCAAATGTAATTGATTAACCAAGACATGTTTCGTGTCTGAAGTTTGCTTCTTTAGTTTTGCACTGAAGCTACGAGACTAATGTAGCTAACGAGTAATAGAAGCTTATTAGCATCGCCAGTTAGCATCATGCAAACTGCATACCTAAATTAGTACACACTCACATAACTCAGGTTATTAAGTAATCTCTCGTAGACCTGCTTACTGTTATTTATAAACATGGACTAAAGTGTGGATAAAAACCAGGCTTGAAGATGGCTGCTACTGTTTTAGCTATGCTAATATAGTTTTGTCCCTATATGTAGATAACAGTATGTAATGTAGTGTCAGAAGAAAGTAAGAAAGTCTATTAGATTTAGGTACACAGTTTGTGCTAATTAGTGGCTACATTAGCTTTGTAGTTCTAGTGCAAAACTAAAGAAGCAAACAGTGTGTCTTAAATACTCCAGTGACAAAGAACAGAATCTGGTAATACTGGAGATCTTTGCAGGCTCTCTGTATTGTATAGGTATGTGTTTGTATTTATCCATTAGCATTTTCTTTTTAGCTTGAGGGTGAGCCTGGCTTATTTGCATTATCATAAGAGTAATTATTCTACGTAGGCAACAAAACCACTTCTGTGAGTCACTCTGGATAAGAACATCTACTAAATGTCACAAATTTAGATGTAAACAAAGCGTGACGGCACTGAAATCTAGGTCTTGTCATATTAGCACTACACTGTTTAATTAACATCTAGCCTTTTAGCTGTACATCATGAAGTGCTGTTATGAGAGTTACAGAGATGTGTCTGTTCATTTATAACAGGACAGAAATGACTTTAGTTGAATGTTGGTAGTTAGGCAAATGTAATGAGGCCTTAGATATTGTGGCATTAGATGGATGGATGGATGGATGGATGGATGGATGGATGGATGGATGGATGGATAGATGGGTGGGTAGGTGGGTAGGTAGGTGGGTAGGTAGGTAGGTAGATAGTGAAATCCAATATGTATCTGATATATGTATCTCAATAATTTTGCACTGAGACCTCATAAACATTTGGGCTGATTTTTCTGAACGAAAAATTAGAAAACACTCATCCATAACTCTCCATCTTCATAGAAATCTTTAAACAAATGGAGAACGAGGCTGCAGCGTCAAAGAACAGTTAAAAGGCTGAAAACACAGTTTAAAGAATCCGAAAACACAAACCAAAGAAGTGACTGAGCCCTTTTTACGGCGATTCTGGGTGATGAGCCCAGCTGTCAGTCAATGAAGCTTCATGATCGCTATTGTGATGCTGGTGAAGATGAAACTGAACCCTTCAGGAATGACTGGCATTCAGTGGCAGTGATGATTACCTCTGGATGAGCCGCATGAAACAATGTGAAGCATTATTCTTTTGCGCATGTGGGAGGAGCTGATCTGTTCAGACATATGTTGCATATTGGTCACATTTAAAAGTGCGAACAGCCAAACAAAAAAATCGTATTTAGTGATAAAATCAGATTTTGGCCACTTTTACCTGCTGTGTGAACGTAGCATTAAATGCACAATTACTGTGATTTGCAGAAGCTGACATATTCTAAAATGTAAAATGTGACCTGTTTGAAAGTTATACACACTTTATTTATTCCAATATGTTAAACTTTGACGAGGGGAGTTAGATAGATTTTGTCTTGTCTCTATATCTATGCTATAGATAGATTTACATTGTCCTCTTACTCTTTGTTTCTCATGATTGAACTGTCAGAGATTTGAATATGGCAAAAGTAAAAATGTAAATTGTATTCCCTCTCTCTCTCCTTACAGAGAAACGGACAGATAAGTCTATGGTATCTGGGGCCATCAGGCTGAAGATCAGTGTGGAGATGAAGGGAGAGGAGAAAGTGGCTCCACCCCATGGCCAGTACACATGTTTACATGAGGTGTGTGAATAGATTAATTAACAAAACTGTCTAATTCTAATTCCAGACACAAAATGAATTTCACTGGTTGACTTTTTGCGGCTCTGTTGCCGCATGATAACTTTACAGTTGGAACGCTGCATTCTTTGGGCCTTAATGTAATCAGAGTATTAAAACATATTAAACAAGTTATTTTTAAAAAAGTGCATGTTTTTCAGTGAGTTCAACTGTACATGTGCATTCATATCAATTAGAATGAGTAACCCTAAGGGGTCTGAAGTTTGAGTGTCATTCATGCTATACTGTTTAAATGTAATTACAGAGCTGCATAATGAATTACATTTATGTTCAGTTTACATTCGATATGGACAGTTAAGAGTCTGCACAACAAGACCTGCACTGATAACTACAAATTCAAATCATAATAAAATATCTCTTCTTCTACTAACAAACACAGGTGTGGTGTGGACTGAAACTCTAGAATCTGTACTTTACCTTGTTTTAATGAGCTTCTTGACATGTGTAACCTGTTGGTGTGTGGTTTACCTGTGCAGAACCTGTTCCACTACCTGACGGAGGTGAAGAACAACGGAGCTGTGAAGATTCCTGAGGTCAAAGGTGATGAGGCGTGGAAGGTTTACTTTGATGACGTTTCTCAGGAGATAGTGGACGAGTTTGCCATGCGGTTCGGCGTGGAGTCCATCTACCAGGCCATGACGTGAGTGTCTCTACCCTAATCTTATCCTGCATTAAAGCTTAAACTGCATCCTTGCTTTTCTTCTTCCTTTTTATGGGATCTTCTTACGACGTTTATGTGGCTTTATGTACCAATATCGGACATAATTTATTTTTACGTTACCACTGTGCCTTTAGGACTGATATATGTAAATGAGCTCTGTTCTGATTGCTTGCCCTGTATTGTGCCTCATTCAAAAAGCAGTCTGGGCTGCAACACTCCTTATAACTTCAGTGTGAATGGGTGGGGCTAAACTGCTGGCAGGCTGAATAGGTTAAATACACTGGCTTGCCAGCTTCATATCTGGACTGAGGAGTGAATAGTACGTTTTCAAGTTTGTTTACATACCACATCAAACTCATTTTAGTGGGGAAAAGTCAGTATTTCATGATATAGGCCATAGACATTTACAGTTTAGAAGCAGATTTAATGAGCAGTTCAGCACTGACAGTACTCAGTAATATTGTTCTGCTCTTTATCTGCTGTGGATGTTGGGTTTTCTTTATCTTGTCCACATTGTTACAGCTTTTCTATGTTGACATGGCATTCCCACATTCCATATTGATGCGTATATTGATAAGTGATGTTTTTGTATTGTTGTGTGGCATTTCCATGTCGCTGGGTAGCGCTCATAAATGTGGTGTATTTACTGAACTGATTTATAGATCTACACCTTTTGACCGTATCTGCTGTATATTAAGTCTGAACTGTGCTAGCTGTGGGCTAAAAGGCAGTGGCTCCTCATTCACAATGTTTATTCATGAACACAGCAGCATATACCAGGCTTACGTCACACGATATGAGGAATGTTGGTATCGGGGAGATTTTTTTACTGAGCACAGTATTAGACCGATACCGGATACCAGCATCTATTGAGGCATCCCTTCATTTGTTTACAACAGTTTTTAACTCCTGAAAATGGCCAGGGACCATCAGCAGGCCCAATGTTTTATTACACACTTCTATAACCGAAGAACAGCTCAGCCAGTTTGCACTGAATAATAATAAGCCTTAGTATACAATAAGCCTGGGACTTTGAGGGGTTAAGCAGGACTTTATCAAAAGCCTGTTTGTATTATTACCGTTTGCAGTGTGTTTCTTTAGCTGTGACTTATGGTCTAGTACGAACCTGAGGGGCTCTGTACTCTTCTCGGTTCTTTCCTCTCCTCTCTCCATACCTACTTTCCACCGAGTTATACCCAGAAGTTAGTAAAAGTTTTCAAAAGTTGCTCTGGCCATATTCATCAGAATCTCAGACCAAGAGGCTTTGGACTGAGAACAGCATAAGAACTGCAGTGTCAAAAGAATGCACTCCGTAAAACTCATACCAGTACAGCTTGTGTACCAAGCTAGGAGACAGAGTGACTGATATTTGTTATTCCCTTGTTACAGTATTAAAGGAGCAGCGAGTAACATCTTTATTAAAATCTGAGGAGCCGCTAAAGCCTCAATCAGGCGTTTTTGAATTAGCTTTGACAAAGAGCTTTATAAATATGGTAATTCTACATTATAATAGTCTTGTGTAAAGCCTGTGTGCTGTACAAAACCAGCTTGGCGTTTCAGTGATTGCTGGTTAAGGCTTGAAGAAAAACATACATGTCTAGAAGGACTGCTCTTATTTTAACTATATACTGTTACTGTTGTAAGTCACAGCTATACCACTCAGCTATAATAATAGTCATAACAATAATAATACAAAATGTATGCAGTTATAATAAGACCATGTTCGTGTAATTTTGTCCCTCATCCATTTCCAGCCGTGGTGTTCCCCTTCTATTCCAGCCTAAACACAAAAACACTGTAGACTTTATTAGCCCTGTGAGAAAGTGTATCAGCCTCAGGTTTATCTCCGTAATTGCTAAATTGCTAATCACCTGTTTCCACCTTTCAGAAGAACCGGAAGCAGGATTAAAAACAGAACTTCATTCATCCACAATAATGAAAAGGAGAGAGAGAGAGAAAGAAAGAGATAAGAGAGAAAGAGATGGGGGGCAGAGCAGGGAGAGAAAGAGAGAATCAGAGTGAGTACGCGAGAGAATGAGAGAAAGAGAGAGCACTGTGTGTTGTTTCTCTCTCTCTTTCTCTCTCTCTCTGTGTCTCTCTGTGTCTCTCTCTCTCTCTATCTCCCTCCCTCCCTCTCTCTCTCTCAGCTGTTTGGAGTTGAGCTCTACAGTAATTAATTAGATCTCCTGAAGTGTAGCTGCTCTGCTCTGAGGGTTCTTACTGAGACAGAGACAAGTGTGTGTGTGTGTGTGTGAGTGTGTGTGTGTGTGTGTGAGTGTGTGTTTCTGGAGATCAATCATGCTCTCTCCTGGAGTTCAAATTCAGTCAGATTCAGATACTCCCTCTCTCTCACACACACACACACACACACACACACACACACACACACACACATACACGCACACTGAGACCTCATTTACACCTGGCTGTTTCAGGCATATTGAACATATAAAAATGCAGGTGTAAATGCACCCAATATTCTTTTAAAACAGCTTTAAATCTGATCACTCAAACCGCTTCAGGAGGTCAGTTACGGTGGCTTGGCCGTCTCTGCGAGCCACATTCAACAGCCCCTCCCAGCACTGTGAAGGCTCCTCCCTCTGCTGTTCTGCTTATAGGGATGAACCACCCCTCACATCGCGGCCACTAACAGAGGCATCGCTGCTCCCTCAGTTCAGCTCCTGACATGAATCTCTCCAGGTTCAGTTCAGTAGCCTTCAGCGGCCTGGATGTTGATTTTTCTTAACCTCATGATTACTCACCGTCTCCAGATACAAGTCACACACTCAAAAAAGGTTGTTCCATGTAGAACCGTTTCATTCCATTCTAAATGTTTTTTTGCATGGTGAAATGGTTGGCTGGACTGAAGGAGAATTTGATTGTGGAGAATATGGGTCTATATAGCACCATAAATGGTTCTTCTGTTTTCACAGTGTCAAGCTTGTAACAATAGAAGAAGCATTTTTGGTGCTAGATAGAACCATTTTCAAAAATGTTCTATATAGAACCATGTACAACACATTCTCCATAAATCTGAAGAACCATTTTACCATGCAGAGAATAATTTAAACCATTAAAATCTCAGGCTTATTACATACTAAGCCTTATTATTTAGTAACTACAGGGACTCTAATGCAAACTGGTGGAGCTGTTCTTAGGTTATTGAAGTGTGTAATAAAACATTTTTAAGGGGTTAAGCATGCAAAGGTTATTTTTTTATAGAACCTAAGTAGAACAGCCCCCTGCCTTTATAGAATCTAATTAGAACAGAACAGCCCCCTGCCCTTATAGAACCTATGTAGAACAGCTTCCTGCCTTTACTGAAGAATGCTTGAAGAACCATTAATGTGCACGACCAGGTATAAGTCTGAGTTGTTCAGAGCCAGTATCAGAAAATCAGATTCTTGCTCCACAGCCTTGAACAGGATGCACAGTCTGTGTGTGTGTGTGTGTGTGTGTGTGTGTGTGTGTGTGTGTGTCTTCCGTGACGGCTGGACCAAAAGTGATGTAAGAAAGCTGCATTCTTCTGTAATAGAGATAAAGCAGACAGCCGTAATACAAAACTGCTTTAGTCTCGACTGACTAACTCTCCTCTATTCTGAGGTCAGCTTGTTCTACAGTCCTCTACCCTCTAATCTCCGTCCACCACTTACGTCTGCAGTGTCTTTCCCATTTGTGTCCCTTACTCACACAGCTACACCAAAAACTCAGCTCAGTCCAGTTTTATTATACGGCACTTTCTACGTGTCACAGACTCTAAAGCTGAAGGTGAAGTGGAGCATCCCACCATGGCCTGCATCAAGGCTTTTTTCCAAACCCAGGCTGCTTGCTGTGCGAGTTCGGTATGTTTGGTCAAGTGTGAAAGCTGTTTTTGAGCCCGATCTCTGGTCCTCCTGAAATCGGTGGCCTGGAGTTCGCTTCCAGCCAACTCTGGTGCGGCCCACTGCATGTGTGAAGCTACCCGCTCCTAGCGCTGCTGCATGATTGGTTCGTTTTGTAACGTGACGGCTTCGACTTATCATGTCACAATACGAATAAGAATAATAAGTCTTTATTTATATAGCACCTTTCATACATTAAATGCAGCTCAAAATGCTTTACAGCAAAAGCAACAGAGAAAGATAATTAAAACACAGGTAAAGATGAGTAAACAACAGAGAAGGATAACGTTGCTGTCAATACAAAACCTCATATTGCCATTTTCGACGTTTTTCAGTTTTTGAAGTAATTTTAAAATGCCTGTTGCTCTTCACACTGTGTGTACATTTCATAATGAATGAACCAAAAGAAATGACCCCAAATGACTTGGAAAAAAGTCAGATTCTATTGACTCACATTAAAGGAAAGTATGTTTTTTACTTCTCCTGTAAAGTCACCATTTTGGAGATACAAGGTTTTGTTCCGACAGCAGAGATAAGTAAAAATATAATCAGGAATAGAACAACAATTCGAACAAATAAACCGAATAATAGAAGAGGAGCACAAAATGCACAGTGAGGGTCATATAAATAAAAGAATAAAGCCGTTTAAACAAGGATTCAATTTTTAAAACAAAAATAAAAATACAACAGTGGTTAAAATGTGCAATCAATGTGTGTGAAAGCAAACCAGTGTTAATGAGCCCCTCCCCCCAAACAAGCCCAGAATCCTAGGTGCGGAACCAGGTATTCGGGGCAAGTGTGAAAACACCCTGAGAGGAGCCAAGACTCAAAAGTATAAACTACATAAAAGCACGGGAGAGAACCCTGAGAAGAACCACTAGAAGAACAGAAGTAGCACTTAACCAGCATTAGCAAGTTGAGAACGTTGCCTGCTAAAAATGTAATCGCAGTTTTGAGCCGCGCTGCTAGTTTATACTGCTGTTACACGCATGACTTAAAGCTAACATGATTCTAAAGCATTGTTTTGGAGATAAGCTGGGGAAAGGCTCTTCTCTACACTCACAAACAGTCCAAACAACACAAAAGTGCCATATTGTA